CAGAGGGTGGACAGAGAAACGGCTAGAGCACGAGCAAAGTAGGGAAAGTGGAAGAGTTACTACTCTAGGAGTGGACGAGGCGGTCGCATATGGCTAGCGATGGGCACGATACCCTCGTGCGAGATACAAAAGAAAGTACTTGCACCTACATATATCTACATTAAGCGACGTTTTTTCTTCTCACGTGAGATGAATAATTGACTACGATTGATCAATTTTCTTACGTCTCAAGTCTCATTGTAGACGCCGCATAATAACGCGATATCCTTAAGAAATCTCTCTATCTCTCTTGTCACGCAATCTCAAATCATCGTAGTCATACAATCAAGTAATCTATATTTCTGTCGGTCAATCCATATTAAAGATAGTTTATACAGAAAAATATTTGTACTGCGATCAAAGATTATAGAGACAAGATTGTGACGGGGAATTGCAATGGAAATTTAATGGCTCAACCTTCATAATAATGATATAAAGTACACAAGTTCCACGTGACCAGATGAGGGACCAGATTGGTTTCTTCCCATCGCTACACGCGATTCGTCCACCCCCGGCGCGGAAAACGTGAGATTGCAGAAGTTTGGTGTTCGTCCAAGAGATGACTATCTCAACTCCCTTCGGGCAGCTCTTCTTATCTTATCGCGCCGCTGATAGATAAGCACTCGCCGATAAAGCTCGGCGAAGAAATGACGGCGCGATTCGCGTGGATGCACCAGCCACTCCTTAATTAAGTTCGGACAGCTGTTTATTCGGTTTATTGTCTTGTTTGCCGTATCCCCAGGACATTCCCTCCGCGATTACGCACGTCCGTGTCAGCGGATGCAGCGTCATCGCGACAGAAAACGCATTGCCGACGCTCGCGTACTTCGGCTTCTCACAAAATGGATTTATTTTTGTGATTTTCACCAAGAGGTTCGAAAAAGTTAATTTTGCGACGAAGACAATAATCAAATCGGACCGAGAAATTATCCTTCGTGAAACAGGAACATTGCTAAATACGCGAAATTTTTAGTCCGATTCGTATTTGTTATTGATTAATGCAATAATTTCTCAAGTGATTGTTTCCTAACTAAAGAGTATCTATCTTTCAAATTATATTATATATAAATATTTATGCATTTTATAAATAAATGTGACAAATAAACGCAAAAAATTTAATGTTAAAAATCGCGTGTGTGAAGTTAGCATCCCAACATTAAAATTTCATAGTTCTGATTAGAGTACCTACTTCATTTTGAAGAAACGAAGAGTATCCTATAGTTTATAATAAGAGTTTTGCTTAACAATCTTTACTTTAAATTTTGATAAGAAGTTAACACCCCATTTTTTAAATTTAAATTAAAAATTGTTATCAAGCAAAACTCTTGTTATAAACTAAAGAAAACTCTTCGTCTTTTCAAAAATGAAGGGGAAACTCTAATCAGAACTATGGAATTTTTTCAGGATGCTAACTTCACACACGCTTAAAAATCAAAGCTTGCGTGGATTGATATCACGGCAGTTTTGTCGTCCGCGACCGTGAGGGATTTCCTCTACAAATTTGAGCTGGCGCTATAGCGAGGACAAATTATGCGCATTACGAAAAATGTGCCCGAAAGGACAGCAACGGCGGCGGGCACGAGGGATGAAACGTCGGCACGGGAGCCGCGCCGCGGATGAAAGATGGGCCCATTGTGCCATCGTAAATACAGGGAAGCGGTCCGTCCCGAAATAAGGGCATATTTCAGCTTCTGTCCGGCAATCACCGCTGCTCCGCGGCTTCACGGTCGTGTGCAGCTACGAATATGGGCGCGGTAGCGAGAACGACGGAAAGGGACGAAGGCAAGACAGGCGAGGGACTGTAGAAGAGACGAAGAAGGGACAACGGGAAGGACGGGTCCGAGCGAGAAAAGGAGCGAGCGGGTGGACGAGCAGGGGATCCCGGGGAAGAGACCCCATTTCGTATTCCTCGGGCATCCCTCTTGATCTCCCCGCATTTTTATTGCACTTGCCGCCGGTAAGAATATGTTTTATTTATATTTCATATTTTCCCTTTCTTTCCCTCCCTCTCTCTCTCTCTCTCTCTTTCTTTCTCTTCTTCTACGCCGTGCTTCGTAATCCGCGGTCAGAGACGGACACGGTCCACTGTCGTGGATTCACACGACAGGGGGGAGGGGGTGACCACGAAATATGAAGTCGAGATACGGGATCCCCCGCGCGGGAAAAGAAATCCGGACTGTGCGTATACATTCCGCTCGCCGCGATTTCCCCTAGCACCCCTATTTTCACGGAGACCGGGGATCGCTTTTAGCCGGGTGAAAATATTTTGGCAACGTTTCCGCGAAGAGTATTTATGTTCGTCTCGGATCCATTCCTTCGCGTGGCTTTATTGAAATGTTGCATTAATGGAATTGCATGCGTCGTCCTTACAATGAGCTGTACAATTTTTTTTATTTTGGTTATATGTATTAGCCTTTATGCTGTAAGTTTCGCGAACGTGGAATAAGTTACGGGAAAAAAGAAAGAGTACGTGCAACAAATAAATCACTAATTCATTTTTCAAAGTTCATAATTCAAGTACGAGAGAGAAAAAAAAAAGATTCGAGATCGGCGCGAGGAAGACATCCAAGAGAGAATCTATCGACCTTGCTTTTAGCGCCCAAATTTAATTCAGCGTCGTCTGATTGAGACGAAGGGTGTTACACGCAATTTGCCGCGTTTCGCCGTAATAACTCGGCGAACCCTTCGGCGTGTTTTATGGGTATCACCCTGAGTATGCATAATTCACGGTCCAGCGAGTAAAACTTCCGCGAACGGCGCGAACCATTCGCGGCTAAGAACTCGACGTTGGGATAACAAAACGCGATAATGTTTCGAGTGTAATAATTTACGATTTGACAATTCATATATCATGCACGTTGTACCGAGTTACGTTTATTTCATTCACGTGCACGTTTGCGGAACGTGAGAAAAGTGTCTCGGGGCGTCTCGCGGTGTCATTAACGGCGGAGGAAACTCGCCGGGTGGATGCTGCGTCTTCTCGGCGAACGTGTCCCTCATCCTACGGTCGGTCGGCGCGACCGTTAAGATCTCCATCGTAACCGTGTGAAAGTGCAAGAAGCTACTGCGTTCGGTACGTACGGGGCACGTGAGCTGAAAGTGAGGTACGAGCGAGCAACTTCATGTCTCTGGCGCGCATACGTGACCGGGGCCCCCGCGCGGTTCACGCTCCCGATACACGCGCGCAGCTGCGCGGCGTACAAGTCCCGCGCACAAGCCGCGTGTGCGTGAGCCGTGCGCGTGGGAATTTCGGATACGGATTTGATAAGGATTCACGTCGGCGAAGTCGTGAGCTATACTCCGCAGCAGCGAGAGCAGCAGCGAGCAGCCTTCTGTATTCCGCGCGCGTGCACGCCTGCCGTGGGTCTTGATTCCGGCCGGCGCGACGCGGCGCGACGTCGGTCGCCGCGGGCTTTTGACTAGGCGCCGACTCTCGAAACCCGAGGGACATGTAAATCGAAGTTTAATGCTTTTGAAAATAAATCCCGCCTCGATCTCGAATTTCATCTCTTCGGATTTTCGAGCGAACAATCGCCGACAAGAACGCGATTTTTCCCTGGAAATCGCGATATTGCGTGATGTATGTATTTATATGACAATGTAGAGATTGTAGAGTGTAATAGCGGAAAAAAAAATACAATAAGTAAGGCAGATGGGAATCGGCGTGGTTATTGGTACGCAATATTTAATTTACATAAAATTTACTTTATTCTAAAAGCCAAACGTTTAGGCTATTTTTTTTAGCCATCTTCAGTGACAATTTACAATAATTTCTCTCTCTTAACTCTCGCTCTTAGTTTCTCTAAGAGTTAAATGTAATTATTGTAAATTGTCACTGAAGGTGGCTAAAAAAAATAGCCGAAACGTTTGATTTTTAAAATAAAGTAAATTTTATGTGACAATGACGTGATTTCAGTGACAATTTACAATAATTATATTTAACTCTCGCTCTTGGTTTCTCTAAGAATTAAATGTAATTATTGTAAATTGTCACTGAAGATGGCTAAAAAAAGATAGCCGAAACATTTGATTTTTAGAATAAAGTAAATTTTATGTAAATTAAATATTGCGTACCAATATAACTACGCTGATTCCCATCTGCCTTACTTACTTATTGTATTTTTAATTCGGGGAATCTTGTTAGGTTTTTATTGTTTATAATAGCGAAATTCAAATTCAAATTTTAGGAAAGTGTGTGTGTGAGCAGAAAGGATCTCACCGCGTTTGCCAAAAACGCGAATCGCGAGAGAAAAGGTTAGGATTTTCTCCGCGGTCGTGCGTTTAGATACATGATGCAAACGTATACGACGAACACAATGAACATATAACAGAGTCTGCATGCGTAGTATACAATAAGTACATACAATAAATAAATCTCTCGCGTACCGTGTCGCCAATTTCTTGCAATTATTGACAATTGTGTTCACCTCGATCACCGCTCACTGTCATTCCGCTCCCGGCTTCTCCGCGCAGCTTCTGCCGCCTCCGCGACCGTGCACGCATCATTCACTGATCTCGAGAGCCGGAACACGACACAGACTTGTAGAAACATATATAACGATATCCCTTTAACATTCAACGAACGCGAACGCGAACGCGACGAATTCTGAGGAGCGTTAAATAAACAATTCGATCGTCTCGCTTCACCGCGCGCCGCTACCGCGATTGTCGACACTCGACAGACTGAAATTCGCGACAGCGCGTCGTCCGTGCTTTTGATCTTTGGGACCCCGTGGACGTTTTAAATCAGTCAGTTTTGACGACCCGCGAGCGCGGATAGAAATCGAAAACTTTTTCGCGAGACAACGCGCCGTACGCAACGTAGGCGTAACGGCAAATATTATTGAAGTACTGTCTGATGCTATTTAAACATTTTTACACGACGTCGAGTAAATATTTATAAAATGACGCGACACAAGGCGTGCGCCTGTCGCACGTGTGTTGAACGGGCGTTTGAAATCACCGATCACGTGGCCTGGACTTCGCGCCTGGGTTCACTTCGATTCGTTTGTCCGTAGTGCGGTGCATGTTCTGACGTATGAAAACATTCGCCAGAGAAATTGACGCACGGTGTAATTCATGCGACGAAACGGTAGTAAAAGAACTTAAAGAAGACGCTGTCATCGATCTGGAGACGAAAGTGACGAAAGAGAGCGTACGGGCCGCCGCCGGTCGCAGCGAGGTTAGGACCGTCCGCGAGGTATACACGGCGGGAAAGTACTTACGTGTCGTGTGTACGTATACACACAGCGAGGCCGCATGCGTTATGCTCCACAGGTGTTGATTGATGATCGTGATTTGCATCGTCGTTGTCGTGATAGGATCACTTTTATGCGCGTTGCTCAAAGCCGAGATCGACGAGTGGCTCGGTGACTCCAGGTAGGCAGCGTCCCACATGTGTCAGTTGTCACGAGCGTTTTATAGGTTAGCTTTGCGATCCGAGCGTGGCGCGGCGTGAATCTGCCCTGGCTGACGCCAGGATTTAGCGTCGTTTCGACGATTTGTTTTTTTTTTTTGGCGCCGCCAGATATCACGCAATCACGCTCGACGTAAAGCTCGTAGTTTTACTTGTCTATTCAATCGTCCTTACATTCTTTCAGCATGAAGCGCCAATTGAGGTTGTCTCTGAGAAGGAACCAGTGCAATTCACAGGGCACATGGAATGATCCGATAGAGATCTCGGACGACGAGAGCTTCGGCTCGTCGTCGAACATACAGAAAAGTACAACAGGAAACGCGAACGTGGCAAGTTGCGGAACAGCTAATGTTCTGGGTAGCGTGACAGATGCTTCCAAGTGCAATTCGAAACATGATATATCAGATGATTTAAGCAATGACGAAGATGTTGTTGTCATTGGCGATGGTCCTAAAAGCCCGTCGCTGTTTGATTGGAATAAACCGTTCCTTGCTAATCTATTGCATCAAAATATTTTTCCTGGAAGTAGTGCCTTGTCTGGCCATACATCTATAGAATCACCTAACAAGAGACAAAAGTTAATGAATGAGCCAACAAGGTGGAATTTTAGCTCTTCAAACTCTAGCGATGAGTGGATGCACGCCAGTCCCAAGAAAGATGATCCACCACCTCAGGTTGAGATACAGCATGATTATTTTATTGTTAAAACAAGAGTCAAATTTCCTCTCAAGGCATATCCATGCCAGGTGGCAGTGATGAGCGAAGTAAGTATTATTAGTATATCATTAATTACGAGTTAGGTCCATGTCGTTGCTCTCTCGTCATAGTTTTAATCATGTTGAAAATTGTGTGTGTGCAGCTCATTAAAGGATGTGATAATGAGCAGAACTGTCTCTTGGAAAGCCCTACTGGCAGCGGTAAGACTCTGGCGCTTCTCTGTGCAGCTCTGGCGTGGCAGGAACAGTACAGTGGTGAGTTTGTAACACGAGTATGGTCACATATTGAATGTATAACAAGAACTTAAGAATTAAAGACCATCAGAATTTAGCTTATCGCGTCATGGAAATTTTCGCGTAATTTTTCTGGCCATTAACGAGATTGCTGCGTTTCATGATTAAACGATTGTTAGATAAGATTAACGGTTGTTGAAGATACGGTCTCTCAATTAGTTCGTGCGCACCGAATTATGTTAAAAATCCGCGTGCGCGTTCCAAAGAGAGAGAGAGTTGAATGATGCATGCTCCCGCGCGATCCATCATATGATATTCATTAATTTCCTACCGATCGTGCTCGTGCAGCGTTTTCCGCGGCTGCGATTATGTCGGTCTCCCCGAGATTTATCGCGGAGCTTCGCGAAAATCTCGTTTCGTCGTCGTGCGGCGTCTCGTGACGGCCGGTCGTTAACGTCAACCCGTCCTAGCGACTTTTGTCTCGCTATAACACGCGCACAACACGTACGCCCGCCCGTCGCGATTGCTCTCGTCGCGGATTTTTGAACTGTCGCGCGAAATTTTGGAAATTAGGGAGATCGAGGCCCATCACCCATCGCGCGCTTGTCTCTCCTGCGCCTCGCGGCGAAGCTTCGTTCTTATTAAAGTTTCCCGAAGTTGGTCGACGTTCTACTTATCTCGTCAGAACTTTAAGAAGTTTTCCGGATAATTTCTCAACGCGTGTCACGCATTTCTCAACGAGATGTCATGCGATTTATTGCGTTCGTCGGATCGTCAGCTTAATTCGCGATCTTTATTTCATATTCATATTTTTACTTTTCTTTAAAAAAAATATAAAAAGTCGATTCGAAAAATTTCATGTATTTTTTTTTTGTAAATAAATTTGCATCGTAGACGTGACGTGTATCGAAAGAGTATTCTCGCTTTAAACGGCAAATTTATCCATTGACATTTTAACTCGTTTATGCGGCCGAAATTAAATATTGCTTTGCAAACGTTAATTTATGTGATTTTTTTTTCAACGAAAGAACATTAAAAATTAATCGCGGATCGTAAATATTGCGCGATCAATTCTCATATAAACGCCGACGTTGCGCCGAATGGGTGACTTTGAGCATATTTAACTGCAGGTGGAAAGGAGGCGCGGGACCCTCGTCTCCTCGCCGAGAAAGTCATTCCAATCGTTAGTGGCTTCTTTGGCTATGATATTAATTTAAATTATTCAACCGTTTATGCGCATCGCCGTAATGATCCTTACGGATCGCGGAGTTCGCCGGCTAATTTTCGACGACTCTGCACGCGTGCATGCAGCTAATTGTTCGCGATCCGTGCAATTTCTAAACAATTAGATTTGCCTTCGCAATGCGCGGTGTCCCGTACCGTCCTCGGTCGTACCAGCCTGCGAAAAACAGCGGGGACACACAGCCGAGCGTAATCGGCCTTTCGTTAGTATAATGCGACGAGAATGTAATTTCGTTCAATGCCGAGCGTCCCGATAGCCGCTTTCATATAGATTATTCTATCTATAGCGATAAGATATTGGGCATTTACGTTTTTAACAAATGCCGCCAATAACACGATCCGCACGGCTCTGTATACACGTAACTCCACGGCATTACGTTACACAGTCATGGAGCTTGACTGTGTGTAATAAATTTTCTGACGTATAGCGAATCAAAATGTGACACATTGTAGTTTCATTCAAATTTTTACATTATGCACGTTATTTAAGATTGACGTTTCCCGTAACACACTGACAATCGTAAGTCGTTTGCTGTTTTGCTAAGGTATACTTTTCTTGGTTTTAACGGCGTGTGATTATTTAAAATCGTTATCGTATTATCGTTCACGATGCACGATCTATATTACCTGTGAACGATTGATGACGCTTATCCCGTCGGAAAGTTTGACGATCGGCGGAGATGCATTCCGCGGCATATGGTCCTCGGAATTTTTTCCAAGAAAAGCAATTAAGTTAACCAAAATCACACATTTGCAAACTCAGTGATGGTTTATCATACACATGCACAATGCTATCTTAATGTGGCTTCTTATGGCGAATGTCGACCGATCGAGAGACAGTAATTTATAAAAGCGAAAGTTACTTTCCGAATTTAAATAATTTATTCGTACATCGTGTATTTTTGGTTTTCGGATTGTTTTCTGATTCTGAGTCGCTTTTAACGATTCTCGACCTTTATTTACTGCGCGATTGGATTCCGCGAAAGATTTCAGCTAAATTTACCTTATACTTGAATGCCGAGCTATGTTCTGAGCAATTGTAACATCGGCTGAAGTGCATACCGCGACAATGAGGCTGGAACGTCGCAAAGTATTCGACGCGATCGCGTGCCATTTCGAGCTGCACGAGGGGGAGCGAATTAAATGTTCCGCGATGTTAACGTCAAATTTGCGTGAGCGGCATCAGATCCGCGAGGACGACGTAGGACGGACAGGACGTCTCCAGGAATACACCGGTAGGAAGGACAGCACGAACCGTCGTCGCCTTCCGGAATTATGAACGCGTCCTCCCTTGAGTCTCGTCCTCGTGACATCGCGTCACAAATCGAAAATTACCAGGCACGCGAAGGTTCTTTTTTCTGCTTTAACAATGCCTTTACGAAGAGACGATCAAAGCCAGTTCTACCAGATATTCAAGACTCCCCTCGTTGAACGTATCATCACTTTTTATTGCAATTGAACAATGTTTCTTGCGTATTATGCAGTGCAATAGCATAGAATAACGTAGAATCAAAATCGACTTATTTTACTATAATAAATTGCAAGTAGATAAATATATCTGACTTAACTGCGAACAGAAAAAGAACGTATGATTTTTACATAAAGAGATATAAGATAAAGTATGAATTTATTTATTTATTTTTTTACTTTAATTTTACTTTTTATTTTTTTAAATTTATTTTTAAAGTAAAAATTTAATTTAATTTTTGCAAAGTTATGAGAATTTGGGTCACAATTTCTATATTTCTAAATGTTTTCGAACAAAAGTGCCGCACTTTACGCGTTGCACTAAATGAAATATGTTCTGGGCAAAATATCACGTAGGCAATTATCTGTTATTTACGATCCGTTCTCAGTTCGTAGATGCGCGTCCCTAATTAGGCAAATCAGGGATGGGGCGACTCGATGGGAATTAGTCATGATAGCGATTTTCGTATACGTGTAGTAGCGGGGATACGTGCGTAGGTGTGTCGTTCTGCACGACATCCTGCTTTTCCCAGTTATAATTTGCTTTATGCTTTAAAACCTGGCCCTGTCACGCTCTGCCGGAGGTCGAGTGGTACTGCTAGCCGCCAAACTGTAAACTTAGCTCGTTGGAGAGCCATATAAATTAGGTCCTCGAAAGGGAATAGAGAATTTTCTAGCGTCGCGGTTTAATCGATACCGCGCGCCGTTGCCGTCGACTCGCTTCGACATTTTACATTAGCTTCTTTTGCAAAGATGCAATTAATTTACTTGGAGAGACGCAGCTGACAAAGTCGAATAGACGTGTAAATTGCGACACGACAGTGAAAATCCATTTCTAAGCTTGGGAAATAGAGAGAGAGAAAGAGAGAGAGAGAGAGAGGGGGGGGAGGAGACGATCCATGTACGGATCTCGGACTGTATTTGTTGTAAGAGGGAAGAGGTGTTGATAGGAAGAAAATGCGAAACTTGAGGAGTCAGCCCGCGTCGGCCACTTTGTTTGGCGGGCCGCATGCGACTCGCGAGGCCGCATGTTTTACGTGCCAGCCATAGCGCCCGATTAGCTTGACGTAACGTTCACCGGAGAATTCGAAAAACTTAAATCGTTCGTAGAAAGGTGGAGCGTGATGCGCCGCGTGGGTAGGAGGGGAGGGGACATCGAGAGGGTTGGACGAATAAATTTCGAAAGTTTATCGCGGAATCGCATGCCAGCTAATGTCACTTTATTACCAGCAAAAGACGACGACGGCGACGCGGAGACAGGCTCGCCTCTATACGGGGGGGGGGGAGGGGGAGAGGAAGGGGGGATTCGGTGAGGAGGCCGCGGGAAGGATAAGTTCGAAATAACCGGCAGCGACGAGACCCATTGTGCGGCAGGAAACTTGGGAAGTCATAATAATTATCGGCGAACGCGGAATTATATATTGTGTCCTCGTGGCAGCCTGTCGTCGTCGTCATCGTTGCCGTCGTCGTCGTTGTCGTCGTCGTCGTCGTCGTCGCCGCGAATTGTCTTTGCGCCTCAGCATGCAACTTCAACGGAATATGCAGCTACGTACCCTGTGACGTCCTGACATTAATAATGCGCCGGGGATCCGCCTTTTATGCCGAAGGTACCAACCGTGGTACCATCGCCGAGGATTCTTCCCAGAAGGAGCTCGCCGCTCGTGCCGTTTCGCTCTCGCACGATCCACGTTCTCGCGTTCTCCTTCGGGTGGTTTTTAAGGCGGGCGGCTGTCGTTAAATCGCGTATCGGTTTTAACATAAATTTTTTTCTTAATTACGTAATCACCATAAATACCTAATATAAATTTTACTGCATCTAGCAGTAACGATTAATGGTCATAGAAGCAATTTTATTGCGATATAAAATTATTTTTTTCGTATATATATATATATATATAATTATTTGATGTTTTTTCTCTCTCTCGCGTCTCTTGAACGTCCGTCGAGGTGTAAAAATAGTGACGCCTCGTTTGGGTGAAAAATCCTTTTCAATTCTGAGATTAAGTGTCGAAAGTCTTTATCGTTCGCTCGTTTATACGTTCCTTGGCGAGATATGCGAGAGAAGGAAGGGGGATTGGGCAAAGGGAAAGATAGAAACCTGGAACGGTAGTCCTGGAATGGTGCAGGGCTACCCGCAGAGCACGCTACTTGCTGTGGCAGCTTCGCGAACGAAAGACAAAGGAGGGCCCACGCTTTCATCCGTGCCGACATTAAGGTACCTACTGTATATGCCCTTTCGGGACACAATAAGGTCCGCATGCGGGTCCAACGGATCTCACGTCTCCTGTGTACCACGTATACCCTTCTCACAA